AAAGGTGGCAACACTTACAAAATATTTCTGAAAGTAACACTCACATTACGACTATTACACCTGATTTATATAGGCTCATAATTCGTATACTTTGTCAAGTTTTTGTATTGAAAGTTTAAACAGTTGGCAACACTACTTAAATTACTTTTCTTATACGCTTTCCAAACTAAACCACTACGTTTTTAAGTATTTCTGTATTTTGAAAAAATTTTCAGGCCAAAATTTGAAACAATGGAGAACCTTTCAACTGTTTCGTTTGAAACCTTTCAAATATTTACTACACACAATGAAATGGAAAAGGTACTGAAATTAATAAAAAGAAAAAAAATTTGGCTTTTTACATTGTGATGGTGCCAAATAAACTGCGATTATGACAAACTTTTGATATCCTACACAATTTTTTTGAGCTTGACCGATTCAACTATCCTACTAAAGAAGTTTCAATCGAAAAAATATGTATGGATCTCTAACGCCAAACCTTCAAACTTTACAAACTTGGACACGTTTATGCATATAATATATTAGACAAATCAATACTCCAATAATTTTTGTTTTTGATTAACAATAGTATTGTGTATGGCAGTTCCATCGATATCTGTTATATTTTTTCTAGAACAAGTCTTTTCTAATTTTAGTATAGAAATCAGTACAGTATTTTACAAGTTCTGCTCGAATACTCTTATCTTAGATATATCTTTGCGATACTCCTTCTCACATCTGACATCTGACGCCAATTTATGTTATCCAACAATTGCAAATTTCTACAACTTTTGAATTGCCTTCGTATATTTAATGAGTTTTTAAGAAGCCCAGTGTACATAAATCAAGAGGTTTGTCATTGATTGTCAATGAATTCAAAGACACGTTTAGATGAAGGTAAAAGCAAACTAAGTCGTTATTATAAAAAATCGTATTCTGTAAATCAATATATCTAAGAAGGTCGTGAGAAAATTACGAGTCGGTCGATCCAGCCGTTTCGGCGAAATCTTCCTCAATGACTCTGGAAAGAGTGTTTCAAGTTTTGGGAAATAGGTTTTTATCTCCGAAACTATGTTCCAGATCAACTTCAAACTTACGGAGAATACAAGTATTTTCAGGTATATTTCGAGTTAAGTTCACAATTTAATATAACACTTCAAGCCACATTCGCCAATAATTTTAGACAAATCGTAGAGAGCTTCGCCTACAGTTCTTTACACTGTCATAGATGAATATTTCAATAATGGCAAATATATATATATATTAATTATATCTGGACTATGTACCATAAATTAAATGAGAGCAAAAATGTGTCTCTAATCTCCTATTTTTATATATTTCCTTATATCATTTTTATTAATTCAACATTTAGCATACTTGTATAATCAAAATTAACTGCTTTCTACCCGAAACCAATCTTTTCAAATTATTCCAAAGCTTTGTTGGATTTATAAAATTTATGTGAATTCGAATACAAATAATTTTAATTTAAAGAACCAAATAAAAATCTGTACATAAATTAGTATAAAAGTCAAAGGCTTTTGACAAAATTATGTATATTTTTCGTACATATATATTTACATTCATTTCATTATTAGAAAAACCCGTTAATACCCACTATATGATGTGCATTTAAAACTAATGTTGAACAAGTAACTGAAACAAATATTTACTAAGTAAGATCAAGCTATAAATAAATGTAAGTAAAGGCAACTAACTGTTTATATGTATGTATATTTGTAAGTATATAACCCTTTTCTATTGATGTATCGTATTATCAACAAATATCAACAATTGTAAAGTATTATTACATTGTATTGTATAAAAATCTCTGAATACTAAACTAGTGACTATGCTGGTCATGGTACGAGTACTCCTATACATACTTTGATATATAGACAAATTATTAAGTAAATATATATTGGCATTTTGCTCTGAAAAGTATGAAATTTATTGATTGTGCTATGCATACATATATTACTATAATATATAACACTGATATAATTATATAACATATTGTATTATATTATATAATATATATTCTAAAAGTGTACATTTAACAAATAATAAGAAATCTGCTATAGAATGTTACATTGAATGTAAAATGCATATTATACTTATGTGTACTAAATGTTACTGCATACCGACAAATCTACAAAATAAAAATATGTTTAAAATAATAAGATGATTTTTTCTTCTTTAAAAAAAGTGTTAAGAATAGCGTGCATGAAAACCACTAAATTACTAATATGCCATCTGATTATATATGACCAGGACTGGTACATTTAAAATGCGCGCGCAAACCGAATTGATAAAAATGGTTACCGAGATTTGTTCATATCTATGGAATCGTTGAAAATGTTGCAGAAGTGTTTTGATTAATCTACTAAGGCCTAAGGTTCGGTGCTTCTAAAACTTCAAATATTCATTAAGGGTTGCAGGTATAAGGACTCCTATTTGAGAGCACCCTCGACTTTCTAATCGAACCCGTTCCAGCTTCTTTAAACCAAGAACCTCTTTAAAGCGCATTTTTTACAAACATATACATTCACATCCACACCATTTTTAAACGGTACAGTTGGTAAAGCTTCAAAATCAGGTTTATTAATGAAGTGCTAAGGATTTGCACTTACTTTACCAGCTATTTCTTCTTAATTGAGTCATATATCATACTAAATTAACATAACCACAGAAAGACTTATGGTATAGGCAGCATTTCGAGCTAGAATTGGTTGGTGCTGGACTCCGTTAGATTTATCTTTGAAAATGCTTTTACTATACGGATGACTTTAAAGTTAAGTTTTCATAATCAACAAAGCATATTTTGTGGTATCAAAATATGAATTTGAGAGGACTTACAAAAATGCATGGAAACACCTGTCGAGCAGTAGTTGCTTTTTCCGCTGACCACGAACAACTAATCAAAATCAGCGTCAATTGATGCACTTCTGCTTGTGATACATTGTAGTTCCTTATAAAAAAAAAACTGTTCAATCTTCTTAGAGGATTTATCCTAATTTCCGCCTAATTTTTAAATATAATTAAATGTGTTGTACAATGCCCACTAAAGCTCTCTGGAAAAATGACGATCTCCGACATTTCAAATATTTAGTTAAATAAATATAATTAAATAATATTAAAACAAAATTAATGACATACCAAGTAACAATAGAGTTATAATTAACATCATTATCATGTATATAATGACAGGGCTTATCTCATGAAAATAATGTTCACTAATTGAAAATAAATTATCGCCTTCAAGTAAAAACCATAATTAATGCCGCCATACATACACATTTACATATATTTGTTTACTGAAAGTAAGTAATTTTCCTGATGATTGAGTAAAATGTTTATTTATTAAAGTTGCTTTCGGAGTCATCGCCTGAAATCAAGGTTACAGCTTTCTTTTATTAAGTGCAAAGTAAAGTATGTACTCTCTTTCTTATATTTTAAATGCTAGAAGAAAACTTATAGACTCTTAACATCTAATATCTTCTTTCTTCACTCGCTTTTCTTCCCTTCTACACCTTTTTCCACGATTTCTTACTAAACTGAATCTAACAATTTTTTATTTGAGCATAAATCGTGTACGAGCTTAGGTTACTTTATAGCCAAAATTTACCGATATCCAACCAGAAATTATAGAAATACGACAGTTTCATCCAGTTACAATTTCGGAAAGCGTACATCATTACATCAGTATAAAAATTTGATATTTGTTTTGTTTATGATTTAGCTTGTCCAAATCTCAATACTCTCATTCTGCATTAAGGCATATACTAAACTTTCGGCGATGTTTTACGATTTTCTGTTACAACTTTCTGTACAGATTGAAGACAAAAACTTTTATAAATTGCTATTTTCTCACAGCTAAGTTCAGCTTCATCTCCACCTTATTCGAATGCTTCAATGTTAACCGAGAGAGTATACAATCTTTTATAATTTTAATAAACCTAGAGACCTGGCTTTGTGTACCTACGACGATTTGGCTTTAAAAATTACCACTATCGCAAAAAAAGTTTACATTAAAAAAATACCGGCTATAGGGTGAATTTATCTCACCATATGCAAACCTATCTTTATCATTAGTTGAGCAAATTAATCAAATTGTTATGAAGTATGAAGCGTTGTTCACAACAAAAGCTGAGGCCGTTGAAAGCATGTCGTCCGACGAGTTCAATATTGGCGCCCATCTCTTTAGTTGACAAATACAACGCAGAAAAAGAAATAAAGTCTTATTTAACGTAGCTCTCTCAATAAATAAAAAGAATAGCATACGTACGCATAAGCAAAAAGAAATAAAAATAAAAAAAAAAACAGTAGAATAGCCAAAGAAAGCCGTTAGTTGAGACATTGTCGAAAGCGTCAGCGAGAGTAACTTTCATTTTTATTGACCCAAAATTATTGATACCAAAACTTGTTAAATAAACAAAGCAAATAAAAGAAAAACATGTGAAGAAACCGAATAAAGATATGTATTGGCACGTATTTATCGCTGATGTTTGAACTCTGTGAATATTTAATAATTATGCAATAAGGCAAAATGATGTTGTAAAATCACAAGAGCCTAAAAATTAGCATATTGCCATAAATAAAGAGAGTTGAAAACATCTGTTTATTCATAAAGAATTTCGATTTTCAAACAGGAATTCCTTGTGATTTATTGCCTTTAATTAGAGATAGATTAATGAAACGAGTCATTCTAGTAATCTGTAATTATTCTATGAGAACCAGTCCCGAACGAAAGCAATTTTTTTAACGATTACCATATATGGTAAACATTCGAAAATATTTGTATTTTTAGATTTTACCACGATCGGAATTTTAAACTACGATCCGCTTAGTGGAGTTTCGACCTGAACATACGAGTATGTACTTAATGACATTGACCAGCAAACTTTTTCTGTAAACCACTATACTTAATTATTTATACACATCCTAACATACATATACCTTAGATACATAAAGACTTTATCCATAACTCGACAAGGACATGACATATGGCCATACTTCGCTGGTCACTCGAGTGAGCGAGTCTTGCTGCGTTTCAGGTAAACTTCGCATTCAGTTTGTATTTTCAGTCGTCGTGGTGCGTTCGCAACGAAGAGCTGCGACCACATAAACATTTAAAACAAAATTTATTTTTACTTATTTATTTAAATTGCCAACTTTGACGCTGAGTGAAAACTTAAATAAAGATGTAAGCACTTATATGTGTATATATGTATATTTTAGAGTGGAAAAAGGTATGTGAACGAAATTTCCAAACATGCACATGAACTGCTTGCGCATTCTCAATAGTGCTGTATTGTTTTGATGTCTTATCATACATTTTGTTTATTATTATTTTTGCAAATCGAAAGTGGGTCATTCATTGTTGCAACTAAGAAGTGAATCACATTGTGGCCAGTTCATGTTGTTCATTCAATTGTTGTAAAATTACATTGTTGCATTGAGAATATCTCTTTAAAAATAAAAGAAATGCTTGATTGTCTTCAAAGAAGTAAGATATTAAATCATAAACCTGATCAAATTTATCGACCGACAAAAACAACATTTCCACGTATTTTAATACAAATCTTAATTATCGCTTTCTAAATAGGTCCTGTGCACATAAGACTAGAGGGTGCTCATCTACGTTGTGAAGCATCTCTTTTGCGATCTCAACTCGACGTCGTTCTTGCAAAAGATTCAGGTCTTTAAGTATTTTTGAGTATACCGTTGACGCGTTTCATACTCAAAACATTAAACAAAATGTGTCGATCCATAAGAGATGCTCGGATTCTCTGCTATATTTTGATGGCAACACGACGATCAAACAATGTTTTATTAACTTTTCCGATGTTATCGTTATACGAGATTCAGAACGTCTTGCATGAGGTAGTTTCGATAACTTCACTTCCTTCATCATTTCTCACTCAAATACTTATGTTTGAGATGGGTAAACTCCATCCCCCAACTCTTGGAACGTTCCATAGTCGTGGTTTCATTGAAATACGCATCAAACAAACCTCGTTTTCATATTTTTTTTGTTTGTATCAAAATCGCCAACAAACTTTCTGTCATAACATACAGCT